ACTAAATTTATTATTATTTTATTTTTATTTTTATTTCACATATACACCTCAAAACATAATCATAAAATTGATGTACATAGTACAAATTCATTAATGAAATGAAGAAACTTTCAAATAGCATGTTGCTCCATGCTGGGCTCCAGAGTTGGTGACTGAGTTGAAGCCACTACATCCCCCCCCCCCACACACACAAACATTCTCCTTGTATCATTTGCTTTGCCCTCACAAATCTTCAGTTGTGGCCCCACATGGCCTCTCTAATATCAACCACAGTTTAGGGTTTCCTCAAACATGAACCAGCTTGAACCCAGTGTTTAATCTCTATCATCGGAATACCTTAAACCTTAAAAGAAAAAAAATGAATCACCACAATGGTTTAATTGAAAAGAAATTAACACAGCAGTTTTTGCATTTGAACCAACACATAGACTTTGCCAAAACTATCTATAAAAACACATTAAACCACCACCTCCATCACATTAAACTACCAACTTCATCCTTGTAAAGTTTGCCAATCATTGGTGAGCCTGGAATGGACTTGGAATCTTTTTACATGAAGAATGATTGTTTCTGGATTTGTGCAATGGTGGTTTAGGGTAAGGTCTACATGTTGGTTCAGGGGTGTGACACAATTTAAGGTATTTTTAGGTTGTGTGTGTAAGAGAGAGCTTAGACTTTTGCTTGTTCAAGTGCTCTATAAAGTCAGCTGTCTGACACACAGCACTGATGGTGTTGCCAAAATTAGAACTGAGTTGAGGAGAGTGCAGAGTTTGAAAGAGTTGTGATCAGATTTTGAGAAGCGGGGTACTGTAGAAAAGAATTACACATCAAAATGTGGTTACCGAAATTGCAAATGAAAACAGAAGTTGGAGAGAGTTGAAGTGTCTGCTAATGCTGTGAAGGCAAATCTTTGCTGCATTAGGATGAAGATGCCTCCAAAAGAAATCTCTCCTTCTAACAGTCTAACCAGAATGCTTACTTAAAAATTTTGCACACATTGTTGGAATTATGCTGTTTGTTAATGAAATGGGTGAAAACTCCTGTTTCAAAATAAATAAACGAAATCAGTAGAAGACTTGGATTTTGATCCTTTTTCTAACAAATAGTGGACAAGTGATGTCTGATGCTAAAGAATCATCGAACAACTCATGGAATCCAAACAAGACAAGTGAGACTTACCGATGATTAAATATAAATCTGTCTTATTACCAAACTATCTATTTGATTAGGGAAAATAAATAAATATGGTTCATAATGCATACAAAAAATAAGGCATCTCAATATGGCATATTTGGCATATAATTATTTTAATAAATGCATAGAGGGCTATAATTCAACAAGATAATTTTCCATGTTTCCTACTTTGGCTACCCTAAGAAACAATAACAATTCCTCACAAATCCTGGAAGTGTAGACACAAGAAAATAAAATAAACTAAAATAAATGAAGGTAAGTGATTTTGATCCTCAACCAAACAAAATCTAAGAATCTTAAATATAGGGGCCGTAGGAAGCATGAACAAAAACATTCTGCCAAAAACATAGTGCCAACATATAAAAGATTTAATGCAGATTGGTTGTTTTTGTATTGTTTATTTGTATGCATCATCTTGACACAATATATATTCATATATATATATATATATATAGTTATTTATTTATGTGAAATACAGAACAACACCTTAGGAAAATGATCTAGACTCGCCTTACATGTTACAATATAATTATGAAAGATCAAACAGTTAAGTAAAAATTAAAAGGAACCAAATCTATACAAAAAAATAAAAATAAAAATAAAAATCATCATTGTTTATTATTGAAATAAGTCATAGATGGCCAAAAAACTACAAGGCTATAGAGACAATATTTTAGTTAGATGGTATACAAATATGCCCCAACAGTGAGATATTAAGACTTTGTTAACATTTTTTCTTCTCACTCCTTAAATCAACCCAATGCTTCTTGGATTAAACAAAGAGAAAGCTATCTGTTACAGTCATGACTGTGGTATCTCTACTCTAAAGAATGTATCCGAAAACAACAGATTTAAAATAAAATAAAAAAAATGAAATAAAGTAAGTAAAAGAGAACAAAGATAAAGTGCTTTTCAAATAGTGTCAGTTGTAAGATATGAACTTGTTCATTCCTTTATGATAATCTGCCTCTTGTGATGCCAAAGGAATGCACAAGTTCATATCAGAGAGAGTTATCACATTTACTACAGTTGTAATTTGCACAAAACAACAGAATCAGCATGTTTGGTGTGGATGGTATTAGCACATTTAGCAAGATTTAATGGAATAGGATTGAACAGAAAAATGCCTCCTCTTGGTCTTTCATAGAGTGTTATTCAGGGAGACAGGAGCTATAAGGATTTGTAAGTAGGTTTGAAGATTTCTTAAAAAGATGAAATAAGTTTATATATATATATATATATATATATATACACACACACACACACACTTGAGTCATAGAATCATTAAGGGAATAAAAAAAATGGATGTGTTTTATGATTATTCGTCATAATATTTTAAAAATTTACCATAAAATTCTGATTACAAAAATTTAAAAATCCATGATTTTATTGTTTCATCTTTGAAACTGTTATGTTTAAAAACATTAGTAATTTAAATATTTCATGGCATGATTATTGATTAATTATTTATTTTTATTCTATCATTATATATCTATATATATACACACACAAAAAATATATACCTTCGTTATTTGATACCTCTAAACTAATATTTCTTGCTTACCTCACAATATTTGCTAATAATATTTGTTTGAAGAGACATTTTTTGCAGATTGTAAACTTCTATCTCTTAACTAATAAATCTTGCAAAATTTATAAAATTTCCATGCACGAAGCTTATAAAATAATTGAGGTACTTGTGTATGAATATATTAAAAAATAATTATGATAACTGGTTGTGGTTTAAAATTTGATTTGAATGACATTTACAGTTATTGGTATATTTATATATGGATATTAATGTTTTATTCATTTATAAAAAAATAGAAAAAAAAATCAAGACTTATTGATCATCATGCAATTTTCTATCAAACTTTTATTTGTATATAATTTACTAAATTAGAATATAGTGTATCAAAAAGACATAAAAATATTGATAATTCAGAAAATTAATTTTCATTGTTTATTTATTTATTTATTTTCCTTTAAGTTTTGTGGTGAATAAAGGTTAAACACATGCATGGCTAATTTATATTATTTGATCTTATTCAAGTTTTTAGAATAGATCCATTGAAAATATCTATTAATAATGTGTAAAATTATTTGTCAATTGTCATTGAATTAATTGCATCATCAATATGTTGTTGTATGTTTTAACATAGAACAACAAAATGAATGGATTCATTGCAACTTTTCACATTCCCATTGCTTTGCATTGAATTTATCAATTCTCTTTTTTCTTTTTCTAATTTGTATAAAAGAACCAAATACATTATAGTATAAAAATGTAACTATGTATCCATTAAATAATCACTTCTTATAGAATTGCAATTCAAGCAACTTTTCTTTCTCCATTTGTCATAGGATTTGAACCTAATTGGATGATCATGGTTTTTTTTTTTCAATCTTTTTTTAATTATTTATCATTGATTTCATATACATGCACACCTCTATAATAAAGAAATAGCACACGTTTCCTTCTAAATATGCAACGTCCTTGAGCTGAGTTCACAATTGGCTATATGGATGACATCCAAAGCGGACTTATGAAATTCATCCACAAAGATGGATGAAATCAGAGACATGAGCAGCAATGTTAACACAGGAGGATCATTGTGAAGCCCTTATGTAGTAGTATCTGGAATGGAATGTTCAGGGCAAGTTCACATTACTTTGTCGTTGGTGTTGCAACATTAAATAAATAAATTGTTAAATAAATAAATTGTTAAATAAATAAATGAAAACATGTATGTATAACCTTCCAAATACAAATAATACATGATGGATGATATGTAACAAAATATGATACGCATTGTATCCAAGAATATTGGCTATGCTATCATGTAATGGCTTATTTACTAACTGTGAATTCAATAATTGTGTTTTTCCTTTGTGCTCGTTATGAGCAATCACATAAATCAGAGCTGCATGTTAAATATATCATCAGTTATCAAGTAAAATATAGCTTGAATTAGAAGAATATATTTTATTACTATTATACAATGTTTGCAAAGCTTAGAATCCTGATATAACCGTTGTTTGTTTTTATCCCTCACACGAATAGGAAAGTAGATTAAGTGGAAAATATTCAAAATCTACATCTTACTATATTCCAATCGATGGCACAAGCTGTGTTGCCAACAAGTAACGGCTAATTTAAAGAAGAATATCCCATCCCAAAACTTTCATAATGTTCTTGCTATGGTGCTTCAAGTGTACAGAATTTTTTTTTAAAAAATAAGAGTTATGAATATTCGAGGTTGCTATAAGCTTAGGAGCTGAGCTGGCATTCAACTAATTCCTCCAACAAGTAGGTGGGGTTCAGTAACAACGAGTATCATGTTTATTTACCCTAATAAATTAGTCTATGCGATTATCTTTCATGTTTTTATACCCTTAGTAAAACAGTAGACCCGGCACGAAAGGTAAAAAATTAGGAAGTACAGTATCTCCACTTCAATGTCCCAAATACTAGGGACAAGTTTCACCAGACCTTCAAGCCGAACCGGATTGTACTCAAAAGGACCATGATAGCAAGAACCTGGCAAGACTATTTATATACATATATTGTATAATATAATAGCACGGGACAGCAAGAGGTCTGGGGTCGGGGCAGCACAGGATTAGGGGGAGCAAGTCAGACCCGCGGTACAATAGTAACGAGTCATACCGGGGGTCCGAGGTGTCCAACGCATGTCAAGGGCCTACAACCGTAGAGGTGGGTACATGAGGGTCGGGGCCAACAGAGTGGGAGTTAAGGGCGGACGGAGACGAGAGCTCAAGTATTAGAATAGTAGAGTTGGAAATGGGATTGAAATAGTCTGGCTGGGTGTAATAATGCTGGCTAAACAAGTGTATGGGAGAGGTAACGCCGGGTAGAGTCATGGCGTTGTAGCCGGCGTTGACGTGTCCAGTCACGTCATTCATTGCGGGTGTCCTCTCTCCCTCTTTGCTGCGATGTGATTCCGAAGAAGGAACTCAGGCTTCCAGTTGCTGTTCCCCGTTGCCTTCTTCACCTTCTCAATCCCAACGCCATCGCTCGGGGACTCCTCCTCTCGCCGTAGAATTGCGCCCCGTCGCTGTGGAGATCATTTTCTTGCTTAGGGCGGAGGAGAATCCGAGCACCTGATTACTGGTTCACAAGTTTTTTTTTTTTTTTTTTTTTTTTTTTTTGAGGTAGTAATGGTATTGGTAGAGCAGGAGGAGTGAGAGAGCGAGGGGAAGGGGGAGACGGGGACATTGGTGTAGTAGTGTGGAGTGTGAGGTGAGGGTTGAGGTTGCGGTGTTGCGTAAGAGTGTTGTGTCATCGATGGTGGTGACGGATTGGAGCGTCAGACAGGTGTTGAGCCAATTGTGAATAGCGTTTTGTTTGAGGCCAGGCGACCTAGGAGAGGTATTTTTTTATATACATTAATTTAATTGTGTATTCACAGTGTGGTTTATTCTGTTAGTATTGCTTCATTTTGCGGTGGTGTTTGATTCAAGTCAGAGCCAGAGCTACGCGGCGCTGGTCACGTTGATCCCCGTGGATGTGGAAATTCTTGATTGGTTTGGTGAAGACCTAGTTACGTTTCAACTATTTTGTTTTAGTTTCGATTCGAATTGAGTGTAGTGAAAAGCTGCTCCGTGACTGCATTGTTACGCGACAAATTGTTCGTTGTTACGTCGGAGGAGGTGATGTTTGTTCTCCGTCTTGAACTGGTTTATGCCTCACTTGATCGGTGTTCTTTTCCGGACATGTTTTTGCTGATCAACTAGATGTTCCTCAACAGTCGTATCTGTCATTGCATTGACCTGGTGTTATAGGCCAGAAGTATTTCATTGTTTGAATGACTCATTTATCTGCGTATTTTTCTTACTCGAGGGCTTAGTTCATTCTGTTTCCTCCGAACTAATCATGCTAGCTGTTATCTTTGTTCGATTCTCTCTAATATTACGTAGCCAGCACCGCTCTTAATCTACTGGTGTTTGCTATTCAATCCAATGATCACACGCTAATGCCCGGGCACTTGTATCTTACTCTGATTGTCTCGATTACATCTCATGATTTTGTCTTTACTTTTGCTGGACTCTTATTCTTTTCAGCTTGAAAACGCCTGGGAGTTTACAAACTTAGTCTATCGCTTTTTACGCAGTACGGAATCAGGATGGACAATCTTGATAATCTGCGTGTCGAACCTAGTTTAATTTGAACCACCTTGCAATCGGAGATTATGCATAGTCTTTTGTCTACTATATGTCTACACTCTCAATGTCGAAAGTCTATTGGTATGCTTCCTCTCTCCTGTCAACGTTTTCTTTCAGCATTAAAAGTTAGCGTCTGCGTGCCCTTGATTGCCTTTCCTGCTTGCATTGTTTCTTTGAACAGCCTTTAGCTTATCCTTCTATCCAGCTTCTCTATCTTTAAAGGAAATTATATTACGAGAAGCCTATCAAATCTAGATCCTTCATCTCAAGCTAACCTCGCAAACCTTCTTCATACACGAATGGTACCTCTATTGAACGGGTGAATGGAAGCATGTAGTATTTTGCTGTTGATCTGGCAACGGGCGAGCACAACATGGGAACATCCTGCGTCCTCAGATTGTTACCGTATAAAAGAGGTTGCATCCGCAATGACGCTGTATCAGTCATTTTTTCTGTAGGTGCCAGGTTACTTGGGCTAAGTTTACTGTAAAGGGTTCAACTGCCGAGGCAACAGGAGACTGGTCGAATTGAATGTCCGTTCGCACGCCAATGATCTGGTGGAATGAGCATTAGTGCTTTCTTAGAAGTGATGGCCTCTCTCACCAGGATCTGATATTATTTGGGAAAAGAACGGTTTGTATGGTCAGCCGGCAGTAATCAGAAGCATCACCGGTCATGCCGGACTACATAGATTGGGTGAAGGTACTCACTTCTGTGTGCTGTTCTTACAGCCTCTCTTATCTCCCAATAATTTAACCCCTGGTCCATTGATCATGAATTAGCTAAAATGCTTAACAGCAACCTCAGCAACTCAAAGTGCATACTTCAATCAATTATTGCACTGTTTTACTTGTAGGTGCCATGATCACCTTTATTAACTTTTTGTGATTGTGACTTTATAGTAGGGTGTTGATCCAGAGCAAGGTCTTTCTACGTAGTGGGCTTGCGCGCATGTAGTCTTATGTTTATCTAGTTGAGAAGTAGTAATGGCTGATGCGTGAACCTGGGAGCGTCGGCTGTGTGGGTAGTTTGGATTCTATTATGGACGGTTCTTCCCAGGCCCGTGCCATGTAGTTATGCATCATCTTCTGTCAATGGTCTCATGCGCGCTGAAGTTCTATTGAGTAGTGAATAGCTGCATGTGTTGCTTAAGAACCTGGATGCAGACTTTTCGATAGTATAAATGTCTTGGCAAAGGATGTCATGGCAACGGTTCAAGGCCTAGGAAGATATTGTGAGCAATGTACATGCTAGATCAAGCACGTTCTCGGTACATGATCTCCCACTGTTATTCTGAGTGAATTTTCCCTACTGTAAGACGTAATTCTTTGGCATGTTGTAGAATGCGCCTTGAGAACTAACTGCGCTTAGACGACTGCCAATTTGCGTATTGTATAGGTCTGCGTAGGAGCTTTACAATCAACCGGACACGCAATTATTTTCTATTAATTCTTCTCGTGATTGTGAACTGTCAGATAGGATAAGGTTTTGGTAAGTTTGCAGGGTTCACGACATGGGTTGTGTCTGCTATCAAAACGCATTTTTATCAGTAGCAGGATTGTTGAATGTACGTAATATGACTGCTGGGCTCTCTGTTGCCGTCATTAGCTATTCTGCACGTTCTAATTGGTAAGGTGGACGACGCGCACATTCAAATGGTTGTTTTAAAGACTTTGATCAAAAACTTTGGGGATCTGCTGATTCTCAAACCACTAAGTCTCTTAAGGCTAATTAGAGTTGCTCCGACGGACATGATTCAGATACTTATCTCACATGAAGCTCTCTTTCACCAGAAGGAATGTATGATTTGCTCTATCCTGTGAACCAGTCAATGTACCTCACTTATCTGCATGTACTTTCTCTCGAAATGTTTTCGTCCCAAATGTTTTTGCGATTCTTAGTTTCGTTTAAGCTTATGAATCATGTGCACTGGGATGTGCAGACTATTCGAGATCGCGGCTTGAGCGAGTCTGGAGCCATTTTGGGGACTAATCGATTCTCCAAATTAGTATTTTTAAAGAGATCATGTGGACGTCAGATTGAGTGACTTTGATTCATCACCACAATGCTGTGTGTTATTATAAGATTTGGAAAACGAGCTACAAGAGCCATGAGAGAAGATCGAATCGGAAAACCTCGTCAATCAAGATTCGCAGTTGATAAAAAACAGGAAAGGCTTCCTGGAGGACCAGCGCTGAAGAAACTGGAAGTCCCACTTCACTTTTGATATCTTCTTTTCCGAAGGCCTATATTAGATCTTCGTATCATTGCCTATGGTCAACGCCCCAGACAGGTTTAGCAGGCTGAGTGGCTTTTCAATGCTCAAAAGACATAGAAAGAGGCTGAAGGACGCTGATGTTTGGTATTTCAACCCACTGTCCTCCGACATGCACACTGCATTACTGCTTGCAGATGATAGAACCTTTTGTTGGGGATTTCTTGTTCCAATTAACTGTAGAGACTTGAAGAGGGATGATTTGGTGTGCAAGGGACAAGGTGGCCTACGATCAACACACAAAGCTGACAAAGCGCTAGATCGACTGACGTCAGATATGCTAACCTGCGAAGGAATAGATCGATGAAAGTGATGGCGTGGGACCGACACCAATGACACACCTGGTTAAACAAAATTCTTGTAGATTAATTTTGTTTAGTTATTCAACAACTATGCCTTGGTGGCCTCCGCAAGTTTTGATCGTAGGGTTATGTACCCTCTGCTTCTTCGTTTGGCCTCTGGAGGTCTGCGGTGGGCGGCAGCCATCACTCCCTGGTATGTTAGTCGACCAGGTTAAGATCTTGTTGGATATTCACTTGCGTTTGCTTCTTTTGGTATATTAATCATCAACACAAATCTTCTTCGCAGTTATGGAAGCATCTAGACGGTGTCTAAGTGGTTCAGAGTACGTAAAAATCTTGTTCTTGAGATGTTCCGTATGTTAGGCCTTGAAGGGACAGCCTGGAAAAACGGAGAAAGTTGACCCAATCTTTTACTTTCTTAGAATTTTTATGGTATATCATGAATTTCCTAGCGGCGGCACCACTCAATAATACCTCGGCATCTTTTAGTTTGTTTTTTGCTTCGGAATTCGCGATTCTTACTTAATCTGTGAGCTGTGCATTCTTGGTAGAACTCGGAACTGTGTTATCTAAAACAATCATGCTCTATGGGGGACTTAGCATTTGTATTTGCACCTCAGAGGCGGCTGCTTTCCAGTATGATTAACCCTGCTTCAGCTTCTCCAGAATTGCTGGCACCAACACCAACACATGTCTTCCACACAGACCCTGTTCCACACTCCGCGGCTGTCCCAGGACCTTATACATACAGCCAGAATGTTCAAGCAGTCTCACCCTCGCTTGTGCTTTCGTCTCGCGTTCCTAAGCCTGCGCCATCCCCGCTGAACCCACCTCCCAGTCCCAGTGTTAGTTCGCCAGTACTATTCCCAACATCAGCACCAACAGGTTTCCAGGATGGGCCGGGACTGGCACCGCCGCCATCAAATTCCACTGCTCCTTCTCCCTCTCCCTCTGGTACGCATATTACCTTCTTGTTTGGTTTTTTTTTTACGTGCCTTATCGTGTTCAGAATCTAGAAGAGCCGTGCGTTCCAATCTTATTACGGGGTGGTTTTGAATTTACTCACAGCTATCTAGTCCAGATTACCATGTTCATAGTTTGAAGGAAAGTTGTGACTCTTCTAGAGCTTTTTACTTGAGCACTTGAAAGTCATAATGTTGCCATCAAAGATACCACCCTGGCAAAGTGGTTGTTTGATGTCGGTTGCGAACCAAGGTCGGTGTCATAGCTGCTGTGTATGACTAATAGCTGGCTTACTATGAACCGTGGATGGTCTGGCACTCTGGTGAAGGGTTTTGAAGTGCCTGGGCAACTTTTATAATGAAGTTTCATCTGTACTAGCAACATGTCACTCATGCTTGATAATGCATCCTTGATTTGCAGGTTGCTGTACTGTCAATATGATTGCTAGACCTGGATCAAAGGCTTTAGATTGCGAGTGTGTATATCCAATAAAGATTGTTTTTGAGATGGAGAACGCCTCTAGTGCTTTCACGAACTTGACGTCCCAATTTCAACACGAGCTGGCCTCTCAACTTGGTCTTATAGATATTCAAGTGCAGATTCAGGCATTCCAATTCGGAAACAATTTTTCTCTCAATATGGTCGTCAACATTGGTCCTCTTGTAGGTTTAGCATTTTCCCCTGAAAAGATCGAAAGTACCAATAAGACTCTTAGCTCGCGTTCGGTGAAATTTAGCAGTATCCTGTTCAGCAACTACACTGTCGTGAGTGTCACAGCATTCCTGCCTTCCTTTCCGCCTACTGGTGAGTTTGTGCCTGATGCATATCATACTGAGCTGGTCATGATAGCTTATATAGAACGCTGAATTTTCATTCCCCTTTAGAACGCAATTCAATCCTCAATGCAGTTGAAGCCTTGTCTCCTCTTTTATGCGTGTGTTTGATCTGCACTTAATGGAAAATATTTGTAGTTTCAGGTCTACAGCTGAAAGCTACCTTACTGATATTGATCTGTTGCCGCAGGTAGCTTTGTTCCTATGATATCACCAACATCATCACCTCCTTCTCTGGATGGAAATCCAGCAGCTAATGCAAAGTTACCTTCTTCTGGCTTTCGTTGGCGTCCATGGAAAACAGGTGTAGTTGCAGGTGCTGGCACGCTTTTTCTAATTTTGGTATGTATTACATGGAGGATATTCCGCAGAAAGACAAACGTCAAGGATCCTGAATCTTCCAACAAAGGTATCAATTACTTCAGAATTTTCTTGGTTTTAAGTAGTCATTCTGTTGATCAAATGCTCCTCTTCATTACAGTGTAGTCGATATCTTGATTGCTTGCTGCATATTAGTTCACATGTAGTGTTGCGAGCTATGGCCGTCTTTGAGGGTCACTCACAGAAGTCACACCACTTTCTTTATGCAAGCGCTGTCTCTCGTATTTATTTGAATAGATGTTTTGATTGGACTTTTATCTGTGCTAAAGTATGTTACCTATTCTGGTAGATACATACTTAGCTTAGGTCTTCATTGTCTGTCTCCAATATTTTCGTGATTTTTTATTTTTTATTTTTTATTTCTTTATTTTTTCCCCTAAAGCACGATGGATTTATCTGAAGGTTCTACATGACGTACACTTCATTACTTCTTACGGTACTTGTAAATAGCACATGGGCTACTTTATATCTCAGTTGGAATAGAAATTTAACTTTTGATGGTTCCGGCTGTAGCAGTAAGTGCAGTGCCGAATCCCCCTGGGACTTCGTCAACAAGAATGGTTACGACTCGTGTGAAGTCATTCCCCAGGCCTTCAAATACTAGAGTTTTTTCCTATGAAGAACTGCAGGAGGCAACCAAGAACTTTTCGCTAGAGTGCTTCATAGGAGCAGGAGGTTTTGGAAAAGTTTACAAAGGAGTTTTGAAGGATGGTACAGAAGTGGCCATAAAGAAGCTGACAAGTGGAGGAAACCAAGGGGACAAAGAGTTTATGGTAGAGGTAGAGATGCTAAGTCGACTACATCATCGGCACTTAGTGAAACTGCTGGGGTTTTATTGTTCACTTGAACCTCTTCAACAACTGCTATGTTATGAGCTCATACCGAACGGAAGCCTCGAATCCTGGCTGCATGGTAAGATTATGTTTGCTTTTGATACGTAACTGTTTTGAGCCCTATTACAACAGGACATAGTGTCAGTTGCATTTAGTGAAACGTTATGACTAGCGGCTAATCACTATTCCATACCAGATATGAAAGTCTTCGTCAATTATGTGGAAGATGTATTATATTAAGTTAACCTGAAAAATTATTGAATGGATCTTGATATCGATCCCAAGAATTTTAGAAACATATCAAGTTAATAATTTTGTGATACCTCTGTTTATAAGTTTAAGGGTGTTAATATCTTACTTGTTACAATAATTGTTCAATAAGTTAAAAAGATAATGTTACAAGGGCTGATTAACAAGTCAATGTTTCCCTTTATGCGGGGTTCCAGTTTGGGCAGCTTCTCTGCTGCTGCTTAGAATGGTCTGTCCGTCAAATCAGAAAATGAGACTGGAACGACTGTGTTCGGAGTAGCTCAATAAGTGAAACCTGATGGGTGTGCAGGACCTCTAAGTTTATCACGTGACCCGTTGGATTGGAATATACGCATGAAAATTGCTTTGGGAGCAGCACGGGGGTTGGCTTACTTACATGAAGACTCTCAACCTTGTGTAATACACCGAGATTTCAAGGCCTCTAATATTCTGCTGGAGAACAACTTCAGTCCGAAGGTGGCTGATTTTGGGTTGGCTCGATCTGCCCCAGATGGTCAACAGGACTACGTATCTACCCGCGTGATGGGTACATTTGGGTAATTAATACCTTCCATTCCAACGACTAGCCCTCAAATTGCTCTCTAGTGATCAGTTACCAGATCTTTTATTTGCACAACTTAGTGAAATACATTGCCGGAGTTTAAAGAGAAAATCTGATTCTACTCTCATGCTAACTTTTCTTGTTTGATAGGTACGTGGCACCCGAATATGCTATGACTGGGCACCTGCTGGTGAAAAGTGATGTCTACAGTTTTGGGGTTGTAATGTTGGAGTTATTGTCAGGCAGGAAGCCAGTCGATTATAGCCGGCCTCCGGGGGAAGAAAACATAGTGGCTTGGGTGAGTCTTCTCCTTCAGTCAATGTAGTACTGAATCCAAAGGCCCCTCTTTCTTTCAAGCAACTTTTAGTTTTTTATTGTCTTGAAAAATAATATTAGCTGATTGTCATATCTGATGTGTAGGCTCGACCATTAATTGAAAAGAGAAACAAACTTCACGAGTTAGCGGATCCTCGAATGGGAGGCAATTACCCTCCCGAAGATTTTGCACGTGTTGCTATAATAGCTGGTACTTGTGTAGCTCCTGAATGGAGCGATAGGCCAACAATGGGAGAAGTAGTTCAGCAACTGAAGGCAATCACTGGCAGTCATGTTTATACATTCAGTCGTGATGCCGACAGAAGTATGAGCAGTGAAGGCGAGAGAGAAGGTCTTGTAGAGACTCCTACATCTGGTGCTGCCTCAAATAAAACATTAGCGACCGCGAGACATGCACACAGGTCAACAGTAACCACGTTTGGATCTGATGGCTCATCCTCTATGTTCTCCTCCGGGCCCTTTTCGGGTCTTATTGGAATTGAGAATGATCCCTTGACGAGAACTTCTATAATATCCGAAGATCTACAAGAAGGTAGGTAATGAAGTTGTCAATTTTATCTGGTGCTCGGTTGGCCTGAGAACCAGACAAACTCCCGCTACTAATGGTAGTGACGAAGATGACATACTTGATGCAGTAAGAACAGCTTCAAGGTTTTGAGACCGGACCTGAAGTCAGCATCATATTAATCTCTTCAATTGGGGACCTGGACTTCTGCTTTCATGCATAAAGTCAATCAACATGCGCACCTTGATGGCAACTGACCTGAGGTGAGAGGAAGCTGCTGATCATCTACAGAAAACATTGAAGATTGAACAAGATTACGAAAGGGCGGAACTTCTTGTTTTAGTATTGCAGCTGCCTTAACAACGAACGGTTTTTTGAATCCTACAACTTGCTGCTGAAGTTTGCTGGTTATCTCCCGCCCTTGTACTCATTTCCCTTTTCTTCTGTCAAAACATGATAAATAACTTTTTAAAAACGTTAAGCTAAGAATTTAGCTCCAAAGGGATGGGACAGGTGTCTTGTAGTGAAATACCAGAATATTGAATTTGTCCTCCTGTCTGCTACACTGAGCATGACGGAGTAATGGTGTGCTCCTGATCCAGGCTGTGAGGCTGGGGATATTCTCAAGCGTTTCTGTTCACTCGCCTGAGAGGCTCAGGCTTGCAGGACTGCTTGGTGTAAAGTATCTTGTATCACAATGTTGGTCTTCCGAAGAATGCTTTCTCACAACAGTAGTAAGATTTTTGCGCCAAGAGCTTACTGATTCGAAACGCTGAGATAGTTAGAATTTTCCGAAATGACCTCGTTTGTTCCAATTGTGGCGAGGCGCAGCAATTATGAAATCTCGCACTAATTCCGATTGTGATTCGGTCATGTATGTGCACAACCTTTTCGAACCAATAAATGCAATTTCATTATACCGAAGAGTACTATACAAATGAATGTGGATTTCATGTTTCTTATTAATATTTGTAATGTGCTGCATGAATAAATATAAGGACCCAATGCTGACACTAAAACATTTAACATTCATACAGTAATAATAAACAACACCCATATTTTACACACAAAAACATAGCACTTGATTTTAATTCAAGGAGTGCTTATGTTTGTAAACAATGGAGAGGCCACTATTTTCAAAGAATCCATAACTTTCGATTTTTTTAAGTTTTAAGTTAAGGTGAAATTATTAAGTTTCATTTGTTTTTTGTCAATCCTAGATATGTACAACTTGTAAAATCATATCTATACAACATAGTAATGGATTACACATATAAAAAAAATAGATTTAAAATGCCTTTGTTGCATGTCATGGATGTCATAAGTTTCAACATGTCTTTTATATTTGAAATTGCATTATTCTAAGAAGAAATCCAACCATTCTTTTGCTAAACATTGATGCAACTTATTCAATTATATAGAAAATTGCATTCCATCAACATTGATACTAATAAGGATTTGGCACTAATAAATGCTACTAAAAATATTTTTTCCACATCCATAGTATTACTTTGTGTTGATACATTTAGCAAAATATGTTAGCAAACAATAAGAAGTATTTTCCATTCAAAGTAGATGGTGGTTGATCCCACTTGGTTGGGCCAAGGTGATAAATTTCTCTTCAGAAAAGGTTGTTGATATGGAGTGGATGAATTTATATCCCAAGTTTGCTTGTGCTCTTACAAATAAAACTATTGCATATCTTCAAAAATCATGTATTCTTCAAAAATAGTAATTTGTAAAATCTTGAATAAATTATACTCTCTATCTCAGCTGCATGACCACATTGTATGTAGAAGTTCAACATTCTACCTTGCACCCATACAAAGTTTGGAGTAATAGATAGTCCTCCACTTCTTAAAAATAAATCTACTCATCTTAAACCAGGTTGCAAAGCTGATTGCAACTTTCATAAAATATACAAAGACAAGTGTTTTTTTATTTTATTTTATTTTTATTTTTATTTTTTTATTTTCTATTGTTTCTATGATTATAACCATGAAGAAAATAAACTAACTAATTTTTTATTTGTTACAAAAAGAATAGAAAAGAATTGAATCTAGTGTTGATTTATTTTTTAATGATGGCTTGAATGAGTGAGTTAATTTAGTAACTCTTTGAGTTAATTTAAAATTCTTCTAAATAAATTTTTACAAGCATCTTCAATTTTATTGTTTAGAAAATAAAATAACAAGGTCTAATTTTAAGGATGCAAATTTTCTGAAATTTTAAAGAATATATTTATTTTAAAATTATTTTTAAATTTTATTTATATCACAATAATAAAATCACATCTAAAAAAACCATTACAAAAATAAAAAAAGTCATAGAGATTATTCTACTTTTAAAAATAATTTTTTAATAATAAATTAAAAAAATATCATATAAGATTTAAAAAGTAATATAAGAAATAAAATATTAAATAAATTTAAAATAAAATAATTAAAAATAATCTAATTTTAAAAAATATATTTAATTACTTTTAAAGATAAAAAAGTTGAAGATTTTTTTTTAAAAAATAATTTATATATATTAATAAGAAATAAATTAGATTTTTTACATTATAAATTTTAAGATCAAAATATTTGTTATTTTTTGTTGCACTAATCTAAATTTTATAATAATAAAGATTTATATGTTTTAAAGGCCATTCTATTTTCTTCTATATGTTATTGATATTAAGGACATGAATCTTGAAGAATTAAAAGATCAAGACATTCTTGTGGTACTCAAAAAGATTAGATAATTAATCAAAGATGATACAATATTAAACTAGAATGGCTATTGCCAAAGACAAAAATACTAAAAAGTCTTGAAAACAAGACTAAGGACTAGAAAGGCATTGACAAGAGTGAAGAAGGCTTCACACTTGCTTCTATGTATACTCTTAACTAGGAGCTATGTGGCATTGTCCTATAGGACCTCCAAAACGTGTTGACTTTGCAAGATATGTATCTTAACTTGTAAAGCAAGTTTTTTATATGTGCCCTACATAGTTAGCTTATTTTGCAAGCTACCAACACGTGGTTAACTTATTGACCAAGTTTTTAACCTACCAATCAACTACAAACACATGTAAAGTCAAAGCAATGTCTATGAAGCTTCTAAGATGCTTTTCTAGAAAATATTATGAAATAAATCTACTTCTATCTATTTCTATTTAATCATATAGTTAAATATTGGAATAAATATGCATGTTTGTAATAATTGATAATAGAAATGTGCATCAAAAAACCAATAGTTAGATTTGAACAAAAGACCACTTGTTTCTTTTACAGGAACCTTATCCACTTTCTTCTATTAAAACTATATTTCTATAAATATTTCATCATCTCCCATTTTGCATTCAAAAATGTTTTATAATCTATATGATTTTTGTAAATTTTCTTTCTATGAAATTTTAATTCATTTAAAATAGTTTTCATGCATTTTTATTTTTATATTATATTTATGTTATTAATATTTTATTAAATATATTCAATTACATGATTAAATTTAAAAATAAAATAGTGATATCAATATGTAAATTTAATATATCATAAAATTTATCTAAGAATAAATATATTTTTTTATTAAAATTAATAAATTAATAAAAATTTCAAGAAAATTATAAAATTAAATTGGTATTAAATTTTCAAATATTTTAATCAGATGAATATTTGTAATTTTAAAAGCATGTTTATAAAAACATTTACAAAATATTTATTACAACTAAAAGGATGACCACCTATAGAAAATGACAAGAGTCATTTTAAGTAGGACATCTTATTGAGAGTAAATTATAAAAATTAAAAATTGAAAGTGAATAATAAAAAATCATCTAATTGGAATTTACTTCAAGGAAAATTTGAATAAATAGTTAAAGGTTTGAACTTTACCAAGGTTAATAAAATGGTGTGTAGAATATCTTGGAGGGGTCATGAAGCATTAGTATGATCTTCTTACTTAAATATAAGATGTTACAACCTATATAGGATATAATACCTTATTTTCTATCATTGTTAATAGCAGCATTGGCTACTATAATTTCTATTAGTTAAACATCTTTTTTGTAATTTTAATTTCATCATAGTATTTTAAAATATTCAATCTTTTTAAGAATATTCTAAAGCCTTTAAACCTTGCTCTAATTTCTTATATTAGCCTTTTAAAATAATAAATTAATTTTTAATAAATTCTTATAAGCTTTTAATTTTTTTAATTTTTTTAATTATAATTCCAAATAAATTAAAAAATCTTATAATATTTTTAAGATGCTCATATTTTTAAGATAATAATATTTTTTGAAACTTTAATTTAAAATTAATTAATTTTAACTTAATTATATTTTATTACAAAAATATAAATATAAATTAATTAGAAATTTTATTTTATACATAAATAATTAAAAAGTCAAAAATTCTTTTTCATGTATTTTCTATCTATTTTTATTAAATTAAATTTTTATTTATAAAGTTTTAATAAAAAATACATATGATTAGAAAATCATTTAAAATATTGATCTTTAAAACTAAATACAAATAATCACAATCACAAGAAAGTATTAAAGCAACTAGAATAATTGCTTTTTAGACTTACTAACTATAGACGTTATACTTAAGATAACACTAATTTTCATAGTATCCTAGGATAATATACCTTTTAAAAAATTCTATATAGTAAATAATACTAGATTTTATAGCACCAAGTGGTTAAAATTCAATAAATAAAAGAACTAGTTGTTGAAAGAAGTTTACTTGGTGCCAAAAGTCAAGATTCTTCTAAACTACAATTTGTATCTATTAGTATAAACAATAATTTTTTTAGATTTTAGATTTGAATGTATAGACTATTAATTCAATGCTTTTAGATTAAATTCTATTTTTTTTTAAAATTTCCTATTTGATAATTTGCCTCTCTCTCTTTAAACTCAGTTGAATTTGATTAAATTCTATTAACAAGAAAAAATTTAATTAAATTCTTAACAAGACTCATATAATTTATGAAACCTTCTAAATTCTCATAAGTAATTAGATGATCAAATAGACTATCTAATGTTAATATTTTTGTATCTAAACAACTTAAGACATTGTTTTTAAGAAAATCTACTAATTAAGATATATTGGTAGAACTCACAATTATAAAGACTTCTTTTTACTTCTATTTATTTTTATTTTTATAACTTTCTTGCTATTATGAGTAAGAATATTTTTAGAATTATAAGAAATATTTTATTTTGGAATAAAATTATATATGTAGATATAATTATTTAATGATATTTGATAGGTTTCAATATCCATTTATAAAAAAAATCTTAATTATAATTTTTTTATTTTTTAGTAATATTTAGATTAGATTAAAATCATTTTAATATAAAAGATGGTTTTTAAAAATATACTTTTTACAACCACAATTTTTATTCAAATTATTAAATTTTAATAGAATGCAACTTCTATTAAGACCATTAGATTAGTATCACATATTTTACGCTATTCCTATTATATTTCTTCTATATACTTAAGAAGTTTTTAAAAAAATGTTAAGTAAAAATGAAAACATGTTATAGTAAAAATTGTATCAATGTAGCTTGGACTTCTATTATAAGTTTAAGTAGAAGAAATTTTAATAGCTAGACTTCTTAATCTATCCATTAACTTCTATTGAAACTTAATAGATAGCTTTATTTTGACATTTTTTAGTAATATATAAAAATCTAACTAATTCTAAATTATCAATTTTATATATATATATATATAGTCAAATATTTTTTGATTGTATCAATAAATTAAAATTACATTCAACATGAATCTTTTAATTAGATACATCTATTTTCTTATTAAAAAAACCAAAGATTAAATACATATTACAAGAAAAAAAATCTAAACTAAGAAAATAGATTTATCATTGTTTAATTTTTTATCAAGTGAATGTATTTTAACATAAAACATATGAAATATATAACATAAACAAAAAAATATAATAATATCTAATATCTATATTATATGAAATATATAATATAAAATAAAAATAAAGAAATTTATTCTATATTTATTAAAAAAAGATATTGATACAAAAATTGATTCTATTTGATCAATATCAACTATTTACATATTATTTTTTACTACAATTGATATTCTTTTATCTAATATAAGTTCAAAAATAACTTAAATATTTTAATTATTACTAATATTTTTAACATATCTCTTATATTCTTTTTTGTGTCTAATTTCTCTAAGTAAACCTTATTATTAACAATAAAATCTTATATGTAATGATGTCTAATATCTATATTATTTTTTTTAGAATGATATATTTAATATATATTTTTGATCATTGCAATGAGGTAAAGTCTAAAATTATATCAAAATAAATATATTAAATATATTTAATAATACTATTAATATTAAAAATATTTTTGTAAAGACAATATACTTTTTTTTGTGATTGAAAATATTATTGAGAATTATAAAATAGACCTCTAACTTATACATCCACCAAAAATTGTAAAGTCATAATATATAGTACATCTTCTTTTATATAAGTCTTAAATCAAATCAATATTAACAAAGCTTTTGACATTTTTTTTTTATTTTTTTTTCTCAAGTTTTATATTAACATATTTCAAATATTTATAATCTATTTAAGATGGCAAGGTATCTATTTCACTACTATCTAATGGTTTTTAAAAAACTTTATATTACATCTAATAATTATATTAATATAATATAAGATGTTAGTTATATTATAGAGTATTGTATATATCCAAGTATTTATTACACTTATATATAAAATACTAGATATATAATTAAATTTTTTTATCCATATTTCTTATATATCAAATTAAATATGTGATTAACTAGAATATTAAGAAATAAACATATTAGTTTTAATTATTATTTTTTAATGCCAAAGTGTATCAATCTTTTTTTAAAAGTATTCTCCATGTTCTCCATATGATACCTAAATTCTATGTCATGCATGATCTACATGGATATAAATTTCTAATGTACTTTAAAAAAATCTTAAATATTTTATATAATATTCTCTACTTAAGTTCGTCTTTAATCTATTTTTAAGAATATTTTTCTTTGTTGCAACCAATATACCATCAATATACAATAAAAATATAACATATTTATATGAATTATCATTTCTTAATTTTTGAAATATAAAATAAAAAATTAATTTAAATAATATCCTTAGTTTACCATAAATTCTCAAATTACTTAAATCATTGCTCATAACTTTGCTGTAATGTATAAAATGGCTTTTTAAACCTAAATATATAATTTTTTTAGGTCTTTTACAATATTTGGTATAATTTATGTAATTTTTATCTTTTATTTTTTATAATTAAAATAATAAATATAATAAAAATATTATCTAACTACTATATTTTAAAATTACATTATACAATAATTACTAACAAATATATAAACAAAAATAATCTTTATTATAAGTAAAATTATTTTATTGAAGATTTTTTATTTTTTTGTTATATATATATATATATATATATATATATATATTTTAAGAATACATATTTTTTTTACAACTACTTATTCTCAAATTTTATTTGTTTATTTATTTGCAAGGTTATATTAAGTAACGACTTTAATTTTCAGGTGTAGTTCTTATAAAAAAAACTCTATTTCTTTATTTTTCATTGTCTTTTGATTAAATTAATTTTATTGCATGTAAATTATTATAATCTAAAGGAAATATAAATTTAAATAATTAAAAAAAATTGTTATACTTATATAGCCAACTTTGTTAAGAAGTTTTTCTATGACTTCTACTACTTCAAACTTAATCTGTTTTATTATTAACTATCTCAAATGTATTAGAATCTAAGATTTTCTAAAAAATATGTAAGGATTTAAATGTATCATTTTTTTAGTTTAAAAAAATCAAATAATTTTTTTTTTCTTCTTCTTAAATGAATCATTATGTTTTAGCATATAAGCTTTAGTAAATTGTACGTCTTTACTTAGCATGATCTTAATTGAATTATTATTTGACCTTTTGTATCATTTTACAATATATTTATTTTCTAAAAAGATACAGAAGTATTTCTTTTAATCTAAATTTTAACTTTTTATCAATCGAATCTAAATATAAATTAGATATTTAAAAATTATAAGCCTAAAATATTTTACAAGTCTACTACTCTATATTTCTATTGATGTCTATTCTCAATCATTATTATATATATCTATATATATATATATATATACACACACAAAGACACTAGCAATATTTTTAGATTTAATCTTAAAACTGAGTTTCAACTTAATATTGCTTCTAATATTTTAAGTTCTCTTATATTTTTTGTAGAGTGCTTAGAATAAAAGAATGATTTATAATTAATTTAAATATTTATATTTATGTATGTTTCAATTATTTATACTTAATCTTATTGCCAGATTTTGAACACTTCATCTTTCTTCTAATTTTACAGCTATTAGTCTTTTGTATGTTTTTCAAATAGCAAATTGAAATACTTTTTATTTTTAAAAATACGTATTTTTATTATTTATTATATATTTTATTTTGTAAAGAAAAAATAGTGCAAAAGTTTTTAAAGCAAGAAATATAGGTTATAAGATAATTGAGTATATTTAGTCTAGACTATATTTACTATAATTAATTAAAATATCAAATCTTTATAAATATCTGGTATTTTAAAAATTCTACTTTGCAAGAATGTATAATTTTAAAATTTTAATATTATATAATTCTTTAAGTCCTTAATCATTTGTGTGTCTAAGTTGTATATGCAATAATTAAATTATGTCTATTTATTTATTTATTTATTATTTTTTCAACAGATATAAGAACACGAGTTATCAAATATCTTTTAAAAGCTCATATAAGTTTTCAATTTTACTATTCTTTAATTGTAAATTTTTTCAAAAAACTTTTAAATCTTTCACTTTAACTTTTTAATTATAACAAATAATATCTATTACATCTACAAAGACAAAATTACTTGTAATTTAAGAATATAAAATATATTATTTAATACTTTCAAAGTAATATTAAAAATTTAAATGCAAATTTTATCAAATTTTATTCTTTTTTAGGTCATATTTGTTTCCATTAATATAATTAATTTGTTACATAATATATAAGTAAAAGACCAATTATTTTAAAACATACATAATATAGTTTATTTTTTATTTTTTAAATTTTTTATTTAAAAAATATAATTATTATTTTAGATATATTTGATTTATCAAATTTTTTATATTAATATTATTTTATTTTTGTTTATATTTTTAGTATTAATATCCTACTTATAATATTATACTAGATTTTATTGCAAAACTTAATTAATCTTAATTTTAATCTTTTTAAAGTTAATCTCCTTGTAATCCTTTTCACCTTTTTCAAAAATTTGTACAATTCTTAACGTAAAAACATGATTTTTACCTTTAATTGCCACAACCTATAATTTGTCCTTTTGACAATTTTTCCTACTTCAAAATTTGTAACTTAATATGTTACATGCCATAGTTTACCTCAACCACACTCTAATATTAGTTTTTGAGTGATTAGTTATAAAATCATTTTCTTATAGAAAATTAAAAGTTACTAACTATATTGTATATAGTTAGTAAATTAAAAGTTATTAAAATTGTGGTTCTATTAATATAATTGTTCAAGCAACTAATTTTCTTGAAGTTTGTTTATGACATATTGTAATTGTTCATTTAATAAGCATAGTACCATGCTACAAGGATATTGTTGTTGCTCCCATAGCCAAAGAAATTTTACAAAAAAATGTCTTTTTTTATAAAAATCAAAATTGAATCAATGCAGCTCCTCAGTTACGAAGAGGTCTTGGGGAGGGGCTCCATCAAGGTGGTGTATAATGCATTCGACAAGGAGCAAGGCTCTAAGGTGTCTTGGAATCATGTCGCTCTCGGTGCTGACGCCAACCCATGGCAGGTGCACGACCTTAAGTGCAAAATGCTGCAGACACTGCAGCACTCAAAAATAATCAGCTGCAAAGCGGTCTAGGCCGACAACCCGAACATGAATGTGAACATCACGGAGCTGTTCAGTTCTGGAACCCTGGCAGATTACTACAAGCTGTATGGGAAGCATTTGAAAATCAACACGTTGAAGAGCTGGGTGAAGCAAATCCAGAGTGAGCTGGAGTATCTGCACACCTGGAAGCCGCCCATAGTCCACCGAGATATCAAATGTGACAACATCTTCATAAATGGAAACACGGGCGAGGTAAAAATTGGGGATATGGGGTTCGTCAAAGAAATAAGAGAGGTGAGGCTGGACATGGTCGTGGGAACGCCGGAGTTCATGGCGCCAAAGCTTTTGGACCTGGACTACAACCAACTAGTGGACGTGTATGCATTGGGCATGAGCGTGCTGGAGATGTTAACTAGGGAGTACCCGTACGAGGAGTGCAAGAACATGCGCGAGATCTTCATGAAAGTTAAGGCTGGGTAGTATCCAAACTCGCTGCAGAAGATCAACAACCCCGAGGCACGAGCATTCATCATGAAATGCTTGGCTCTTGAATCTAAGAGGCCCTCAGTGCGGGACCTGAGGTGGGATCCTTTCCTAGTCTCGTCTACGATATGTTTGAGTTCCTCATCTACATCCTTTGCGCATCATTCCTTTGGCAACGCTGAATCATCCGATGGCGCGCAAAATTCTAGTTCTAGTTCTAGTTCAGGCAGAGGAGCTGTAACTTTGCTCCTAGTTTGCTCTGCAACATTGTCATTTGAGCACATTTCAATAAATGCGCTCTTCTTTTTATCGTCTCACTATGAATCCACCCACTTGCTCCTCATTGTTTGTGTCTGATGTGGAACTTTTGGTGTCTTGAGATGAGGTTTTGCTGTCCAGTTTGGGTGCATGAATGAATGCGTTCACTTCAATTGTTTCACGTTTTCATGGTGTCCCTATGAATGAATTATTGTAGATTTTACAATTGTAAAGAGTTTGAAGAAAGCACAACACTAGAGTGAAATTCTTGAAATGTATGATTTTATATTTTTGGTGATTCTATTGTTGATGTCATCTTTAAAGGAATGCTGCTAGTTGAAGCTTTAAGTACTGTTCAAGTGGGTGATTCAGTTTCAAATCTGAAGTTTGATTTTTCTAAGGGGTGTCTGTTAAATTATTGTAAAATCATTTTAGGTTTTTAAGTTGGAAAAAATAAAAGTAAAATTCATCTTTATTACTTTGAATGATTTTATTATATTTTTAGAATTCATAAAAATCAGAACTTGAGAGGATCAAGTTTTAATAAGATACAGATAGATTTATAATATTTTGATTTTGATTTTGATATATATATTTTTTTATATATCATACGACTAGTTTATAATAAATCTTTTTTTGCACAAAGTCCTTTCTTCTAAATTTTATGATCAATTTTGGTTGGTTAAAATGTTTTTGAACATGAAAATCAATAAAGTCATTTGTATTGAATGACAATAATGTTAAAAATACTTTGGTGTATAAATTTATATAAAATCGGTTGAAGTTTTCTTCTAAATCTTTATTATATTCTAATTTCATTTTTACTCTTCAAATATATAAGCAAAGTAAAACACCTAAAGATTTTCTTTAATAAAAATAAAAATTTATAAATCAAATGAAGTGGTCAATGGCTTTTATAATTTAAACTATGTAAATTTGTAAAAAAATAAAAATAAAAAAATAAAAAAAATCTTAATATACCATGTCTAAATTTTAAAACTCTAAAAAACCTACTTGAGTTCTTATTCTATTTATATTTTTATATTTTGCTCTATAGTCCTATATCTTTGGATCCTGTACGAATATTTTTATTTCTAAAACTTTATTAATTATAAAATTTATAATAGATAAAAAAAATCATTTCAGGATAAATAAAATTGAATTCTTTCTAAGTAATAAACAACAATATTATATATATATATATATATATATATATATATATATATATATATATATATAATTAAAAACTTAAAGAAAATAAATTTAAAGAAACTTATCAAAAAAAAATCCTTAAGAGTGAATAAGAAGAAAAAAAATTTTAAAGAGCAAAAATTTAAAGAAACTAATCAAAAAAAATATTTCTTCAGAATGACTAAGGAGAAATAAAAAATAAATAAAAAAAAAGCCAAGAAGAGATATGTTTATAAACTAAAAAGTTTATACAATGGCTATTATTCGGTAAAATATTATATATATATATATATATTTCTATCATTATTTTGTACATTCTAATAAATTAGAAAGCTATGTAGAAATTTAACAAAAGTCTTAAGGCTTAGAGACCATATAGTTAATTATTACAATAATTTATTGGTGGATTTTTGAATTGTTCTTTGATTTTTTTTTTCTTAAGACAAGTTGCTCTCACTATATAGTATACATCTGTATATGAATCTAATTTTCATCAAAAAATATTTTTTGGTTTTTTCCTGAAGATGATATGATCTAATTACCTTATTTCTACATACTTCTATTTATTTTTAAATACTTGAATAGTACAAGTATGTTTGATACTTCTAACTTAAATATGATTTATAGTAATTATAATGACCTTAAAAATTTCTTATTATTAATATATTTCTTAGAATTTAAAAAAATCCATTTATACATATTTTTATTATGTTTCTTATATATTGTTATATAATACTTAATTATATAAAGTAAATGATAAATTATCTTGAAAAGAACCTTATATATTGTGTTAAGAAAAATAACTTATTATTTATATTATTTCTTTTTCAAAATAAATGATTGTACTTTAAGTCGCATATTAATATTTTTTACCGACTGTAATACTTTTTATAATCCCTTTTTAATTTTTTTTCTAATTTAATTATCTTAAAATATTCCAAATAAGCTAAGAATAAAAAATAAATTAAAAATCAACATATAAAACTTTAAAAAATGTTATCTATTTGAATTTGAAAGTGATATAAATTTTTTTTTATTGTAATATCAAAACATATGAACTTTTTCATAAATTAGATAATTAATACTTAAAATTATTTCATATATAATATTTAATTTATTTATTTTCATAAAATAGTTAATAAATTAGATTAATTAAAAATATTTTTTTATTTTTGAATTTGATTTCAAAAATAAATAAATATATTAAATTAGAAGAAAATACTACCTATCAATACATTTTAAGTGGTAGAATTGTTGAATTTAATGTTTTAATGTTGTTTAGATATAAAAAATTTAAGTTGTAAAGATTTATTCGATTATCTATGTATTGATTAGGATTTAGAAGGTTTTGTAAGTCACAAGAGTATGTTTTAGTAGAAAACCATAAAAATTTAATATTAGTAAGTCTTATAGGCAATTATTCTATTTGCTATATTACTTTCTTGTGATTGTGATTTAGTTTTAAATACCAATATCTTAAGCATTTTTTTAGTTATATTCGTTTTTATTAAAATATTTATAAATAATATTTTTAATTTAAAAATAGTATAAAGAAGAAAAATAAAAAATAAAATAAATAACATCATGACTTTTTAAGCATTTATATAAAAAATAAAATTTCTAGTTTATTGGATTATTTTATTATGAAAAATCAAAAAATAAGAATAAATTAGCTTTTAATTAATTTTAATATCTTAAAAATATTAGAATAAAATTTCAAATATATTTAGAATTTAATTAAAAAGTTTAAAGAAAAATTTAGATAAGTTTTTAAGATTTTGTTAAAAATATGAATGCTTTGTTCTAAGGTTATTATTAAAAATTAAAGCAAGGTTTGAAGGATTTAGATGGTCCTTGAAAAAAATTAGTATTTTTGAATAACATGGTGAAATAAAAATTGCAAAAAAAAATGTTTTACTAATACAAATTAGAGTTGCCAACACCTCTAGTAATAGTAGTTGAAAAGATTGTATATATACCTCCTTAGATAGATTTAAATAGAAATATAAGAGGAATTCTTTATGGCTCTTCTAGACTATTGCATATACCATTTGTAGATCTTAGTGAGGCTCAAATCCTTAATCATTTATTCAAGTTATTATTTAAATGAATTCCAATCAGCTAACTTTTCCATTATATGCTTTCAATTTTTGAATTTTTTGTAATTTATTCTTAATAAATTCAATATATAAATATATAAATATATTTATATATTTTAGATAAAAAATTATCTATAATTTTTTTAAAATTACTTATTTTTTTATTTATTATTAAATAAAAAAATCTAGTAAGTATATTGTAATTAGTTTTAGGGTGTGTATTTGTTTGATTGTCTTTCTTTCACTTGTTTTGTATCTTTTCTTATGTCTATATATATATATATATATATATATATATATATATATATATATATATATATATATATATATATATATATTGTAAATTACACACAGCTCTTAATTGATGCTATCTTATAGTTTAGGTTTAAAATATATTTTTACCTTCATAGCTAAGCATTTTAAAAATATATAATTAAAAAGTAGATTTAACTTAGAAGACATTATAGATTTTTAAAAAATGCTATATATTATTATTATTATTCATATAATATTAATAAACACATATAAGAATTATTAAAATCTTATAAAGATATCTAAATAATATGTTGTTTTATTCATAAAATTTATTTAAATAAAAATTCAACCAATGGTGCTAATAGCAAGATGATATAAACAAATATACAAAAGAAAACTATAATTTTTGTTATATGTTTTTTTTCACCTATTTATAAGAATATTTTAGAATTTTTTTAAATCAACTAAAAAATGAAGAGCCTAAATATTGATTTAGCAAATAATCATTTATAATATAACTAAATATTCTATCTAAATTGTTACAACTTTACAATTTTAAAGTTAAAATAAAGATTCTAAATAAAAAGATTATTTTAAAAATAAAATTTAAAGTAAGTTTTTTGAAATTAAGTGATATCATTACAAATAAGTATTATATCAAATGGTATTTTAATCATTCTTTGGTCTAAACATGACATTAAAAGTTTCACAAAAAATCAATAGATATGTATTTTTTTTATCTACATATGCAAAATTATTAATGGTTCAAAAGACCTTTCAACAAGCTTTTAGCAAAGTTTAAATATGCCTTTGTAGCATATATTATTTGATTAAACTTAGACTTAATTAATCTATGAATTTATTTAGAAAATTTTCTTTTTGTAGAATTAGTCTTTAAAAGAAAACGCAATATTATAGATGTTCATTTTTTATAACTGAATATAAAAAATAAAAAACAAAAAATTATTTGATAATTTTTTTAATTCAAAGAAATAAAAAATACATCCTAAATATTGACTAAATTCGTAAATAGCCATATGTATGTTATATTGCTAGAATTATTTTTTTGTACATTTGTGACTTAGGTTATTATTGTAAATTTTATATTATAGAGAAATTGTAATATAAGTTTAACGTTTAACCATAAAACATGCATGCATGCTACCTAATTTTATAAATAAAAATTTCTTTTTC